GACCATTCTCTGAAGTTGTATTCATCTAACAACACATTGGTGATCTGCAAGCTATGCAGATTTGGGTTTTCTAGGTTTGAAGACCTCCCACCAGTCCTATTGTCTTTAGARGACACTTCGCCTGATATGGAGGACATATTCCTTCTCTTACAGAAACCACAGCTGAAATCTCAACACAAGGAACTAGATTTCAGACTTACCAGAACTGTTACAAGGCTGAAGAAACACCCTCCATGACTGCACTGAAGCACTTCTGGGCTGAAAGACAACACCACTTGTGGCTGAGAAAATTCTGGACTGTGAACGCCACCACCTCTGTACTGAAACCAGCACCCCTTCTGGACTGAAACCAGTTCTGGACTGTGAACAACACCACCTCTGTACTGAAACCAGCAACCCTTCTGGAGGCTGAACCTGGATTGTGACCACCCTTACGGTCTGTGCAATCACCCAGACACGAACTAGGACTGTCTACTCAGTCCTTCCACCTAGATCTGTTCTACACAGATCTCTCTAGCAGCCAAATGGCTACTCACTGCTGCAGAACCACTAGTAGGGCATAAACTTCTGAGAAAAAACTCCCCTTGGGCCCTACATCCTAGAGAAACCCTAGATACAGACCTTGCTGTTGTCTACTGTCAGTCCTAGGGTTTCTTCACTGTAGCAGAAATAAGAGATAACGAAGAGAGATGAGAGGAGAAGAAAAAAAAGAGAAAGAAAGCAAGCTGTAACCAGTCAGGCCAAATGGTGCTCTGATACCATGTTAACTGGAGAACAGCAGCAGATGAGGAAGAAGAAGAGGGGAGAACAGGTCTGAGAATGGGCGGCAATAGTAGTCTCTGCCAGCCCTAGAAGCTAACTTATATATTCACAATAATAGATTACACAAAAGGACTAGAATGCCCCTGATTAGTGATGGGACACCTAGGCATAATAAAAAAAGATAAAACAGGATTAGGCCCAATAACTAAAGGCCCATAGTAAACTAAGAAACTTAAACATAAAAGATAAACTAGGCCCACAAACACTTAACCACTCAAACCAACATGGTGGATTGGCCTTTCCTCTTATGTTTGTTAGAGGAAAGTGGTTTGGGAGAAAGATGGAGAAAATGGATCAAAGGTTGTCTTAGTTCGGTGCATTTCTCTATCCTAATCAATGGAGTGGCAAAAGATTTTTTTCTAGCAAAAAGAGGAATTAGGCAAGGAGATCCTTTCTCTCCCTTCTCATTCACTTTTGTGGCTGAGGTTCTAAGTAGGCAAATCATAAAGGCTGATCTAGCAGGTCTTATAAAAGGTTGGATGGTAGGGAGATCTAAGGTGGTGGTAACTCACTTGCAATTGGCAAATGATATTATCATCTTTTGTGAGGAGGCTGATGATTTCAGCTTGAGGAATTTGAAATTGCTAGTGGAAGAATTTCAAAGGACCTTGAAATTAAAGGTAAATTGGGGAAAAGTTGTGTGGTAGGARTTAATTTGGAGGAGGATGAAATCCAACCAGTGGCACAACTACTTGGGTGTGAGGTGAAAAGATAGCCATTTCAGTACCTTGGTTTGCCTTTGCGTGGCAACCCAAAACATGAGGGCTTTAGGAACCCTGTCATAGAAAGATTTACCAAGAAATTAGCCATGTGGAAAAGAAATTACATATCTTTGGGAGGAAGGATTACATTGATTAAGTTCACCTTAGCAAACTTGCCCACTTCCTGTCCACCTTTAGGATCCCGGAAAAAGTAGCTAAGCAGCTAGAGAAGATAATGAGGGACTTCTTATGGGAGCCACGAGAGGAGAAAAATGACTGTTTAGTAAAATGGGAACAGGTTTGTAGAACCAAGGAGTAGGGAGGTTCCCCTGTGAAGAGGAATACAGCCCTACTAGGAAAGTGGTTATGGAGGTTCCCCCATGAGGAAGATAGACTGTGGCACAGGGTCATTGAAAGCATTCATGGCACAATGGCTAATGGTTGGGATGCAAAAGTAGCAACTAATGCAACTTCCAACTCCCCTTGGAAAGAAATATATGAAATCTTACCTTTGTTTTCTAATTTCATTCATCTTGATGTTGGGTGTGGGAATAAATCCTTATTCTGGGAAGACCTGTGGCTTGGAGACCAACCTCTTACTTGCATTGCAATTCTCTAATCTCTACGCTCTGTCAAATCTAAAGGCTGAACTTAGAGCAAGGGTAGCTACACCCTCAGAATCTGGGTTAAACTGGGATTTAGGGTTTAGAAGGGGTTGAGAGATAGTTTGTTTCTCTCCTTGTCAAAGTTGGAAGTGGTCTACCTGGACCAAGGTAGCCGTGATAATAGAATTTGGCACATCCAGCTTTTGCTGGGAAATGTTTCTAGAGAAGGTAAACACCTGTGACGTGCTACAGAAAAAAAAAAGAAAAAAAGAAGGCCAAACATGTGCCTTTCTCCTCATGTGTGTGTTCTCTATAAGGTTTGTGGTGAAACCCTCTTTCACTTACTGCTCTCTTGCTTTTTTTCTTCTATTTTGGGACTATTTTTGTTCTCTCTTTTGATGCAGATGGACCCCCCCCCCAAGACATAGTGAGTCTCTTCAACCCAACCTTCCTATGGCAATAGAAGAAAAGGGGAAGATGCATGTGGAAGACAGTACATGCTGCTGTGGCTTGGTCAATTTGGGAAGAGAGAAATCAGAGGATCTCCAATGGAAAAAGTAAATCCTTAGTGGAGGTGATTGAAGCCATCAAAATCAGATCAGTACATTGGGTCAAAACCTTGGATTTGTTCAAAGGTATTCCCATGGATGACTTCTTAAGAAATTGGACAGAAGTGGCACTCTCAACATCACATAGAGAAACTGTAAGAGTGGAGTGGAAACCACAAGGGCCAAATAAACTGAAACTAAACTTCAATGGGAATTCCTTTGGCAACCCAGGAAGAGCAAGAGTAGGGGGAGTCTTTCAAGACTATCATGGAGTAGTGCTGGCCTTGTTCTCAGGACCAATCGGGTTTGCAGACTTGATCCAAGCTGAATCAAAGGCTCTATGGCAAGGATTGAAGCCTACAGAATAGCTAGGGGCAAGAGAGCTGGAAACTGAAGGAGACTCACTTCTGATTATAACATGGGCAAAGAAAATTGAGTCAGTACCTTGGAAGCTAAGATTCACTTTTAGACAGATTAACCAACTTGCAAAGAGATTTAACTCTACTTTCAATTGGGTTAAAGGGAAGCTAGGGTTGGCAGATGTGTTAGCCAAGCAGGGAGCTAACAGACCATCCTTTATGCATCTTCATTCTTCTTAATACAAAACATCTCTCATAAAAAGGAAATTAAAAAAAAAAATGAGATCCTTCTCATTTTCCCCTCCTCTCAAGGAAGAGTACACCTCCTTGAGCTCAAGAGGCTTATGCCTCTTACGTTCTGAACTACACCTCATGCCTCCAAGTAGTGGAATGCCTCACATCACACCTCTGTGTTTTAAAACATTGTTCCATATTAGTACACCACTGGTTGGAAGAAAACTTAAAAAAGAGTTCCTCCTCCACAGTCTTCTTTTATTTTATGCCTTATTTCTGTTTACTCACCCACAGCTAACAATTTGCCATTACAAATACTCATGGTTCAAAGTATCGATACGCCTGTGTATCGGCAGAGGCGTATCGGTACTTAGATACACACGGAAATAATTTTTTTTTTTAGTTTTTTTCAAAATTTGGTTTTTGGGGAGTTAAAAAAGGGTGGAGTCCCGAAACACCTGTAAACCCAAAAGATACGATACGATACGATACGCCATCGATTTTTTGAACCTTGCAAATACTTCAAGCGACAGAATGCACATTACAAATAAAACTTTAAATAACCGTGTTGACTAATCATTAGCCAACTAATCAATGCTTGGTTGTCCTAGGTAACCACATCATGAGTACCAACCAGCTAGTTAGTAATGCAGTTGGTCTGGCCTTGAACTGATTAACTAGTCATCTGGTCGATGGCTAGTTGATGCTGAGAACTACTGAAGGATCTTATGTTATTCCCTCTCTGGTTGGCATACAAATTATTTAGATCTGCCTCTTGATAGCAATCCTAGGTCCAGAGGTTATTAGAGTCCTGAATTGTATAGATTTATTAAGAAACTATCCACATGGAGTAAAATGATTTCCATTTTTTCTGTACAATCACTTTGATTAGAAAGTTAGAACTACATTTTCAAACTCCCTTGTTTGCTTATTCTCAGTAAGATCCTTCCATGTGGCTGTTGTTAGAGGGATGGTTGAGTCGGTTGTTTATGAAGAAAATGGATTAGATGGTTTGATCATGTGCATATATGACCACCTACGGCACCCATCAGAAGAAGCAATCTGCTAGGGGCATACCAAGGACATGGGTTGAAGTAGTAAGAAATGATTTGAGCACGCTCATAATTTAATAATGCATATGGCATTAAACAGAACAGAATGGTGAAACAGGATTCATGCAGCCAACCCCTTATAGTTAAGGAAAAAATCCCATCAAGTGTAATGTTAGATCCATGTTCATGCATATTGACTGATGCCAAACGAATCAATATCATGAGAAAGAACTGTTAAGTTACCATCCTAAAAGTTCTTTGCATTTATGACGAGTTTTAGACTAGCAAAGCTATACACCTATTCATTAGGTACAAGCCAACGTTGACGAGGTGGAGCCTTTTATTGAACCTCATTTAGAACGCAAAGACTGGGAGTAATACTACTTCATTCTTTTATTTCATTACCTCCTAAGTCCTAACAACTTCCAACTGTATTTTTTTCCTATGATTAATTTTACAAGCAGGCTGGATAAAATTTTGTCTGTAACAATCTAATCACAAACGACAATCCAATCTTTGCTGTGTTCTGTTTAATTTTGTTTGAAGTTATTGTGTTAACTATTCAATATGAAATTTTTTATGTGAAATATACCCTAGTTGAACTCAAATCTGTTTTTTAATTGTTGGTAAAGTCTTAAGCTTTTAATTGTATTACTGAACTTGTTTTATTACAACCCAGATTGCCCGTCGTTTGTTGGGTAAAATTTTGATTGATCTACGGAATACTCGTGAAGAAGCAATCAGTGTTGCTGAACTAAAAAGTAGTCAAGATCAGAATTCAAAATCCACTGATTATCAATCAAAATCTCAGATGAAGAGTGAGGACATAAGGAGATCAAGTTCTACAAATGAAAAGTCACTTGACCAGGATGACGATGACGATAAAGAGACCAAATACCGTTTGGATCCAAAGTATCTATCCAAACCTTATGCTTTTAGTTCATTATTTACCRTTACATCTTTATTAAAAGGTCCTGCTTACTTTTTGTCAGGTATGCCAATGTCAGGACACCTGAACGACATGTACGTACCCGCCTTTATTTCACATCAGTAAGTCTGATATCTTCCCTATCGTTCTACTTTCTTCTTCTATTGTTTGCTGATCATCATCGAATGTTTTTAGAAGTTTACTGATCTGCAGTTAGCTTTGCTTAACAATTTTAGTTTTCTTACTAGTTACAAATAGGATATCATTTTTCAGAAGGAAAGACTATATCAATGGTAAAAAGCCTGGCTACATGCAAAGCCCTAGGTGGCTGAGTATTTTATTAAAAAGGCCTTATAATAAAAGCATCCCATTCAACTCAAAGAGAATAAAATAAAGTTCAAACACATTTGTGGAATCCAAAAGTTGTCTCCACACCATGACTACACTGTAGTGTTCAACTTTAGTTAGTTGTCAAAGGAACTAGCATTCGCTCTTTTCAAACCTTGGCATCCTTCAATTGCTTTTGGTTCTTAATTTTCCTACCAATAGCCTACTGAGTCTGAGGCTATTCACAACATCACAAGTATGGCAGTAGAGAAAGTGATACATGAAGCAGAAAAATTTCTACTTATATCCACATTATTGTAAACTGAATTTACAATTGCTTTGGTTTAGTTTTGCTAACTGATTTTATCTTCCGAAATTCATGTGATAACTGTGATAGGTTATAAATTCTATATTTAGGTAGTTCTTATGAGTTGGGATTCTTATTGTGTTTAGAAGTGGTTCAATTTGTGGGTTGGAGGTTGAGTGTAGCCTTTGGGAGCCTTCATAATAGGGAAGATAATAAATTCTGTTTTTTTTTTAAATAAATGATAAAATCTGTTTCTTCATCATCTTTTTTTGTTGTTCTATGTATTATTTTGCATGGATTTATTTTAGTATCTCTGACTGACAGGAATCACATATACACTCTTTAATGAATGTTCTCCGTTACTGTAACTTGGATGAATTACTGCAAGGAGAAGATAGCCTTGTCTGCCATTCTGCTTTAGAGCGTTTGTTCAAAACAAAGGAACTTGACTACATGAGTTATATTGTGTTGAGGATGTTCGAAAATACAGAGGTTGGTAACTTTACCCTGTTATTTAGTGGCTTGAAATATTAAAGATTTCTAGTGATATTTAGTGGATAAATGCAGTTATAATTACTTTTAGCTTTATGGTGCTCCCTTTGAATGGCAGTTCAAGTCTTTCCTTTTCATGTTTCATACTCCTCCATGCCCCTGAAGCTTCAAATATATCTATCTAGAAGGGGAGGGAAAACAAGAAGTTAACTAATAAAGAATAGGGAAAGCATGCTATGTTTTTCACCATATGCATACTTAGAAACTTTTTAATTAAAGTGATCTTTTTTCTTATTGATAGGTAACTAGTGATGCCATTAGTAATATACAAATAAAAGATCACAAGGACTTTGTAGACTTTGCAAAGAGAAGGACTCATTTAATTATTTCTAGGATCACATGAGGATATATATCAAGTAAAATTGTGGAAAAAAATCAACCCTATTTCACCCCACAAAAGAATAGAGAGCACTGGTGTCTCACAATCTCATACACTGAGTGTTGACAAACCTTTCCATGTTCTTAAACTGTGATAGAATCAAAATCAAATTCACAATGAGAAAATGTATGTGCCTCTTCTTTTGGTTCTTGATAGAGCAGAGTGGCAGGGCAGGATTCATATTGCTGACCTCAAATAGTAGTGATAAGGCAAGGTTCCTTTGAATTTAGTAGGGTTACACCCTTACCTTGAAAGCTGATATTTGGCTAATGCTGAATAATAAGGAAAGTGGTTGAAACAGTATTGCAAACAGATAGGATTGAATTGTATATACCTAGGTCCAATCTTTTTTTGTTTAATATTTGAATTTGAATCATATCTTTTTTTTTGGGTAGAAAATTTGAATTGAATCTTGTCTGTCTTATTTAGATTTGACTTAGATCAAATTTGGTTATTAAATACATTAAGAAATTATACTAAAATTATCAGAATATTGTAGGTAATTAATAAAATAAATAAAATTTTATTTGATATTGTATATCATGAACAAAATGAGTTCAAAATAACTTTTATCATACTTGAATATGTGACTCTGTCATAAACATTTTTTATCGTTAACTGATTACAGAGTAACATGTTAATGTTTTTATATTATGGTCATGGAGCCACCCTAGTGCTTCTAGCTCCATTCTATATACAGCTTGGATTTACAACCAGATTATTCAAAAGGATAGCTCCTTTGTTGAGCTAGAGAATCAGCAATAGAGTTAGAAAATCAAGGGATCTAATTGATATATGCTTTCATTTCATTTTCCAGTTGCCTTGCTTCTCTAATTATTTGTCTCTCAACTTTCAAGTGCCATAGACATCCTCTTTTCCCTTTCAGCCAGCTTACAATTATTCCATTTCTATAATCAAAGGTCTGAATTTTGATTTCTTTCCTAGCTGTAAGCCTTGAAGCATTGCATAAAGTTATGCTTGTATAGATTTTTTTTTTTTTTTTTTTGAAAAATTGCTTGTATAGAATTTTCCTACACCTATCAAGCCTGAGTAGGCTAAGAGAGTCTCCATTGTGATATCTGAATACTACTCCTACACTCAAATCATGAGGATTTCCAAGACTGGAACATCAAATTTAATCTTTTTCCAGTTAAATGCGGAGAGTCCAAGGTACCAAGCTTCTATTCCCTTGTTGAGGACAAGAAAATTGGCAGTACAGGCAGATTTAAAGAGAAATCAAGTGTTTAACAAGGGAGTCACATCACAATGTCACATACACATGGATCGACAGATCAGCCAATAGGTTGGCTGAAACTCTAGTCAAATAAGAGTACATAGAGAAGGTTCTGGGTGTATTAAATGTAGAATGAAGGTAACAGTCAATATTTGGGGTTAGGGGGCTGAGGTCAGCCTAATTGTAAATGGGTTGCTGGGTATATTATATGCACTATTTTCATTTTTTTGTTATTAATAAAATCATGAAATTATCCATCACAAAAATGGTTTTAGTTCCTCCCTACAATCATACAAGACACACTTATTAGCCAACCTGAAGTTTCACCTGTTGAACTTGTCTACCAACCACATGAAAGCAATCACTCCGGGGGGGATTGAATATCCAAATATTCCCCACGTTTTCATGCTAAGAATTTACTCCTTAACCAAATTGTTGTGAAATGATCTCGCTATAAGTAAGCCCATCAATTCCATTTCCAAGCAATGGGCCTTTGACATATTAATAAAATATGTAAAGGGTCAATAAAATACAAAGCACTGACTGACTGTTTCTTGTAGAGAGACTGGGCCGAATGGGCCCTAGTTTTTGTTTTATGTTTAAGCGGTGTTATAAAGTTTTTGCTTAGTTGGCCGCCCACTTAAAGGGCAGACTTGTAATTAGCCTAGTTAATTAAGATTAATAAAAGATTAGTGAAGAGAGAGAGAAAACCATCGAACTCTCTTCTCCTTCCTCTTCTTCTTCTCCATCTTCTTCTATTCTGCTGTAACCCTCTTTTCTTCTCATTCTTTTTTGCTTTAATCAGTTTTTTATATCAGATTTAAAAGGACTGATTTACATCTTTCTATTAATGGATATGGCACTGAATAGAGTGGAAGGGCAGAAGAAGATTCATGCAGCCAATCCTATATGGTTGATACAAGCCTTAGTTGAGTTGAGAGTAGGCATATACCATGATACTTGTCTCAACTCAAGATAATGACCAAATGTCAATGATTGTCAGCCTTCTAAAGAAGATTAAATAATTTAATTTTGTCAGATATACTTGAAATGATTACCAATGATTGATAAAGTTGAATGATTGTGCAGCCACAGCTCACTGGATGAAGGTAGGGCTGTAATCGGAGCAGATTCAGCAAAATCCGAATCAGATCCAATTACTGAAAACTTGCATCCAAATCCAATCAGATTTGAAGACCTCGGATTCAAATCCAAATTCTAACGGACCCAGATAAGATTCGGATGGGGTCAACTCCGAATCTGATCCGATTATTAATTGGATGTAGATTGTAAAATCCAAATCCAATCCGATTACATAAATGCATCATTCAAATCCGAGATCATGAGATTGGATGTCAGATCGGGCCACAGATCTTCAGGTATCATTGACAGGCCTAGATGAAGGGTAGAAGCAAATTTTCTAGACAGAAAAAATGGCCAAAACTCAGCTTTGTCAGAAATGGCTACTAAACATTAATAGTTCAAATTCATAGGATTAATTCCCTAAAAGGCACATTGATATTCTTAAATCATCCAAGGGATTTTACATGCTTAGGTTTATCGACATTGATCTCCTTTAAATGTCATTACCCTTGATTGACAATCTATAAGATAACTACTCATGGGCAGGGTTGGAGCATGGAGATAAACTGTTTTACCTCCAAATTCAGATCCAAGTGGCACACATCCAGTGGGTCCTGGGTCCTGCAAGGGATATCACCTTCTTTTTCCTTGTATAAAATGGTCAAATTTGTCCTCTTGGATCAAGTTTCCTGGCTCATAATAAAGGGAATCATTTGATGCTGTGCCCCAGGCCCTGTTGATTTACAGAGGCAAAGAACTTGTCTCCATACTAACCCTAACAACAATTTAGCACACAATGATGTTTGCCTTCAGCCCTGTAGTCAAAGCTGATGATACCAAATTGTAGTTGCATCAGATATCGTATTATAAGTTTCTCATTGGCATGAACTGCATGGATTTAGTTTTCATTTATCATAAAATAGAATTCCATAATGGCTTACTGAAATTGAATTGCAGGTGGCTTTGGAAGACCCAAAAAGGTATCGCATAGAGTTGACATTCAGCCGTGGTGCAGACTTAAGCCCTCTGGAGGTAATATTTGTATCATATTTCAAAAGGATAAGCGTGAAACTTACTCTCATGATAACATATGAAATTATGAACCACCACCTCATGAGTCATGAATATTCATTTGGTTGGCGACCTCTTTTGTATGACCTGTCAAACAATTCCAGTGTCTGAAATTTCTGTCCTACTGCTAATGCTGCATTCCCTGGCCATCCAGATTTTATCTCTAAATCAGAATGTTAGACCATCCATCTTAGCTGATTTTAGGAGGTACCTCATCCAAGATGGTAAATATTCCTGGCCCATGATTGGGTGCACATTTGTATTCTATTAGGATGGCAAATATTCTGAAAATTGCAGTTTATTTTAGATCATAAAAATATTTGCTTGCTTATAGACTTCTCAAAATAAATTAAAAACAGATATCTAAAAATTTAAATATAAATAGAAAAGTGATAGCATATTTTCAGCCTACTTGTAAACCCTATCACTTCTATCACAGAAGCATAAGATGATATAATCAAGTTCAAGTTGAAGTCAACTAATCCACTGTAATGGCTCTTTAACCTACATGTGGTGGAAAATAAAGTCAACAAGATTTTTAAATAGATTTTAAATAGCCTAAATAAATCATATTTTAGTAAGGTTTTGAAACAATAACCCCTTTAGAAAACCCCCTGAGAAAATTTAAAGAAATAAAGAAAAGACACATTAGAGAATGAATCGCATGAAATGTAAATTGTAAAATTCACAAATAAAGTTTTAGGATTGAAACAGTATGTCTCAATTGAATTGATTTCTAAAAAGGGTGTATATACAAGGATTCTAATAGGTTTTAAATAGCCTAAATAAATCATATCTTATTGAGGGTTCTAAAAGAAGAGACCTTGAATAAATAAATAGAAATTGAATTGATTCAAATTGCATGAATTGTATAAGCTGTAAAACTCACAAGTCGAGTTGTAAGATTCGAATGGTAGTCATAATAATTTTGTAAAAAAGAATTCAGACATAGGATTCATATTGAAACCATTGGGATAAACTGTTGGAATCATAAATAATAAGATTTTGACAGTTATGAATAGGCATTCATTTAGGTTGATAGGCCTCGTGTTTATTTTATAAAAGTGTTCACTAATATTTCCTGATAAAATAATTGAATTAAAATAGGGTATGGAACAACAATAACAAGGTCTGAAACTGGTAATTGAGCGGTACTGTGTTGTTTCGTGACACTGTTTTTTCTGCATTTGCTTGACAGAACGAGAATGATGATGAGGCTGCTTCCTTGCATCAAGAGCACACATTGCCAATAATGGGCCCAGAAAGGCTGCAAGAAGTAGGTTCATATCTCACTCTAGAGAAGATGGAGAAAATGATTCGTCCATTTGCCATGCCGGCAGAGGATTTCCCACCAACACCTCAGGGCTTCACAGGTTACTTCTCAAAAAGTGCAGGAGTGCTTGAGCGGTTGGTGAATCTGTGGCGTTTCCACAAGAACGCTCCCACTAATGTGAAGTAGATATTATATTACCGTTCAAGTTTTGTCTTTTTCCTTGTTATTTTTATTATTCTCTTACTTTTCTCCATCTTGCATTCTATCATGCATAGAGCACTGATACCTGAGCAATGTCAATTTTGTCACATTCTTTTGGTATTTTTTTGAAAAAATATGTAGAGAGAGAGAGAGCAATGTTGGAAGCAAAAGCTACCATGATGGTAATTAACAATTTTCCAACCTTGTCAATGGCAGCCAATGCATGATTGTTGATTGTTGTTGTATCCCTTTCCCTGGTGTCGTTGTAGCTCATATGCATGGTTTTAAAAAATGACCCGGAAATGAAATCGTTCTAGCTACTGGTTTTTGGTTGATGGTTCAACCGTCTGGTTTGAACAGATGGCCCATTCTGACAAAAAATTAAAAATAAAAAGATGGGTCATTAACTGATTTAACGGTTTTTGGCCAGGGACTGGGTTTGGGTAAAGCAGAACTAGTTGCCTGGATGGTTCCTGGGCCGAATGGTTCGACCATCTGGGTCAATGGTGGTTTGAAAACCATGGTTATATGCCTATTTCAAATTTCAAGCTTAATTTACATGTGCCCACGAGGTGCCTAATCCAAGTTTCTCATTGGGTAGGTCACCTAGGCCATGGTGCCTAATCCCATGGTTATCAAAACCGGACCGGACTGGATGGTCGAATCGGAAAAACTGGGAATTGATCAGGTGACCGGTTTTGGTTTTCCCCAAAATTGGATTTTCTTCAAAAACCGTTGATTTTGGTCAGAAAACCGCTGACTTGGGTGGTTAATCGTTCGAACGGTTTTGACCTTTTTTTTTATTTTTTTGTCAGAACGGGCCGATCGTTCGGTTCAAACAGTTTGACCGTTCGACCCGATAACCAGACCCTTGACTGATTCGGTCTCTGGATCGGTTTTAAAAACCATGCCTAATCCAAGTTTCTTCATTCTTTGTTTCCTCTAAACTCTTATTTTTAAGAGGAATTTTACAACTTTTAGAGAAAAATGAGTGTTTATTAGAGAAATTTTAGAATTTTTTGTTTTTCAATGATACCCTCAAAGTACAAACAAAAATTCTCATATACAGATTGAAATGAATATTTGACAATTTTTAAAGTTCAGAATAACATTATCTATATTCAAAATTCAATGAAAGAAAAATTCACCAATACTAATATACCTTTTAATATAATTATTACACTTTCATAAACACATGTCAGAGCAGATGAGTAGTACTTCTATATATTTTCATTATGATACATTGATGCTTCTATTTCTTTTCTATACTAATTGCGTGAGTCCTGTATAATCAACTCCACCTGAATTATAGAATACAGGTTTGACACATTTTCAACGTTGAGTAGGACCAGTAGGTTGCATTAAAATATCATGGAATAATACACGCCAGGGGTCTAATTAAGTTTGATGGAACAGCAACATTCCATCTACCGCTATTGAATTCTTCATGATACGTTCACCGACCAAAAGTGCAGATCCTGAACACAATTCAACGGATTCTTGCTTAATTTCTTTATCTCCCTTTACGGATCGGATTACATTTGAGTTGCGTTTTCACCAAGTTAAAAAATAAAAAGTTCCTTCTGGTAAGCGGTAAGCAAGAGAAATAGATTCCCTCCAAAGCCTAGAGTGATTATCCATCCGAGAATGGTGATAAAATGTCAAAAAGTGGTATTCTTTTTTTAAGAAAAAAAAAGATGACTTTTCATTAAAATAGCCAAAGCCAAAGAAAAGGAACATAAAGATCAAGCAAGACAAGGTACAAGATCACAAAGAATAAGGAAAAAAAAAGACACTAGCTGAAGTAAACAACAAAAGAAAAAGAAAAGGAGAACCACTTGGAAAGAGAATGAAAAAAAAAAATTACTATTAGTCCATGGCAGCCCGAGAAAGGAAGATGTGATATTTTCAACTCACGCTAAGGTGTCTTTGTCTTTGAATAAAAGTTTTGCCTTTGTTCGTACATCAATTCGACCTACCTTCACACAAATTAACCAAGCTCAAACAATTTGACTCAACAATGATATTGAAAAAGCCACTTCCCTGAGCTAGTTTTATTTTAGGTCCATCCGTTTGACCATAACTGCTTCAAAGCGAGGATGGAACCAAAAAAGAGAAACCTGCATTTCTAATGGTTTAATTCGCTCGGTTTATTTCCTAGCCTAAGCTAATCGAATGGTATTATCAAATACAAAACTACTGCAGGATTTCCAAATTATTCAAAGAACAACAGCAATAGAGATCAAAAGTAAAGTAAATGCTTTTGTCCCTGAACACTAGAGCACCGCCTTGGCAAATTATTAAAGGTCACGTCTGGAGAGAGTTGATCCAATGTGTAATTGAAAATGCTGGCAAATCATAACCTTTTAGCATGACCACAGAGGCAAAGTGCATGAACAACTGATTCTGCCTCTTTCTTGCATACAGGACATAAGAGGCACTTGATACGAATCCTCACTAATTTGGCTTTATTCAAATTTAACTACAATAATGGCATTATTAATAYCAAGGTTTTTAAAATYGGACCGAACAGAGAACCGTTTTGGATCCACCAACTATCAAAAAAAATAAAAAATACAAACAAAAAATGGCTAAAATCCAAACCCCTCTGTCATAATCTATCAAACAAAGAGCGTTTGGGTTCAGATGAGGGCCGGGCCCATTACTTCGCAACCTTCTACTATGGGAATAGGATCATCTCAAAAAGAAATATTGGAGAATTTATTTGACTCTCAAATACTAACCCTTTAGAACAACTTATCTCCCAACAAGAATACTCCTCTAACTCCAAGATCCCAAGCTTTTGAGCCCATCTGTCAGAAAGTTCCTATTCTTGTCATACTTAGTTCTCATCAATCGGCACCGCAAGCTTTTCTCACTAAAAAGCAATTCTTCAAGTTCAAGCTAATTTTGCAAGAATGACAAGGTTGTGGTGACAATGAGGGTCTCTAAATCCAAGATCTCCATTAAGCTTGTTTTTATATAACCGGTTCCACCCCAAGATTTTTTTTTTTATTTTTTTTTATTTTTTTTTTTGGGGGGGGGGGCGTATTTTTAACACAACACACTAATAACATTCAAGATAGGTGGTAACAGGTTGTGGGACTCGAGAACCCACATTCCTACTGGAACTACCCAGCTAACGTACCAATTGAGCCACCACTCAATTGCTGTTCCACCCCAAGGTTCAAAGTTCTTGAACTCATCTTTCAGGAAGTTCTTATTTTTAGCATACTTAGCTCTCATGAACTGGCACTACAAGCTTTCCTACTAAAAGTAATTCTCCAAGCCAACTTTGTAAAAATAACAAGGTTGTGACAAGTCTCTCTAAAGCCAAGACCTCCATTAAGCTTGTCCCTATAAATTTGGTTTAAACCCTCTCCAAAATGTTTGAAAGCATCCTTATCTTTGACCTCCTAAAATCAATAGGGAGACTCAAGTAATTAAGTTTAGAGTCTCTTAAAGTAGAGGCCTCTAGCTACTACACTCATTAGTCTTGGATGCATATTTGAATTAAAGAATTTTTTTAATTTAGAAAAATTCACTTGCTGCCTAGAAGCTTTCTGTATTCCTGAATTGCCTCCACCAACAATACTCCTTGTAAGGAAAACCTTTTGTGTAGTTATCATATGAAAAAAAAAAAAGTGGGGAATAATAGGGAATTGTCAGGCTAGCTTGATATCATAAAGAAGACCTTTAGTAATTAGATTATGAATCTTCTTTTATATCATTTCAGGGTAGAGTAAAAAAGGTAAGGAGATAAGGGATCTCTTGTCTTAATCCCCTAGTCGACAAGAGTTTTTTACTTAAGGAACCATTAACTAGCACTTAGTAGAATACAATGGACACACATTTTATGATCCACCTAAAGCCAAATCCCAACTTTTCCAACACCTTCCTTAGGAAATTCCACTCAACTATATCATAAGCCTTATTCATTTCAATTTTAATAGCCATATAACCTTGCTTGCTCCTACTTGTTTTCAAATGGTGAATGATCTTATGAACAATCAAAATGTTTACATTGATAACTCATTTTGGAATGAAGGCATTTTGATTTTTGTTAATCATACTACCAATGAAGGTTGGAGCTTAGTTAACCAAAACTTTGGCAATGACTTTATAATCAATGTTGCAAAGACTAATAAGCCTWTAATGCGTAGGGATCTCAGGATTTTTTATTTTAGGTATGAGAGCAATGAAAGATTCGTTCAACTTAAAATGGCTATGATCAAAATTTAAAAAAAAAAAAAAAGAAAGAAAGAAAAGAATTGGGAGACCATCAGAACCAGGATATTTATCTGAAACAAGGCACTCTTTATTTCTTCTTCTATCACATCCTTTCCAATGACATGATTTTGCTCTTCTATTATTATAAGATCACAAATAATACTCAGAAAATCATCAATTCTTGTTGAGTTAGAAGAACTGAAAATCCATTCGAAATGACTTACAATAATGTTTTGGACTCTCCGAATCCTCAACCCACATACACCTAAGTCACTTTTTAACTTTACGATTTTGTTTCTAGTTTTTTCTAATGATAATTATATGAAAAAATTTAGTGTTTTTATCTCTATATTTCAACCAATTGGCTCTAGTTCTCTAGCCCACATAATCTCTTCTTTCTTAAAAATGTAAAAACTAAATAAATCATCCAAAATGAATTCCCCGTCTTTATGAGACTTGCTTTGCTTGGCTACCAACTGATTCTTAGTTACTGAGATTTGCTCAGAAACATTTACAAAGATCATACGGTTCCATTTATATTTGCCAAGGGCGGGACGCTACTTCTCTCTAATTAAGCTTGAATTGCCGAAACCCTTTAACACTGGAATCCCAAGATCTCTTTAGAACCCTATCAAAAAGTGGTATTCAAACCTAACATTCACGTTGCTTATCATACATTGGAGTAAAAAGACTGATATCTACCTCTTCTGGGTGGATGAGGGTTGTCCAAAGTCCAAACACGAGGTGATGACCAATTGACCACCGAGAAATCAACTGTCATTTTGATTTCTAACTTTGTTTTGAAGCAAATTCTCGACAAAGATGGCTCCTTTTTTCTTGGCTTTATTTTCATTTATTTTATACCCATTACATATCCTGCCATCTTGGTTAGGTTAGTAACCTATCTGGGAATCAATAAAGCATCCTACTTGATTGCGTCAGAAAACTATCAATTTTCTACCCACCACTGAAAGCTAGGCTCTACCTCCACGGCCAATTAGGCGTGGATGGTTTTTCA